GGGCCTGGCGCCTGCGCTGCGTCCCGGGGGTCTCTGGAGGTGAAACCCCGGGAAGCCGGAGTCTGTCCCAGCCCTGTCCTGCTCCGGCTGCCCCTGGCTATGCGCGGTTCTGCGGTCATCGCTGCCCAAACCTCCTCCGGCCCTTGGTGTTGCCATGCGAGCAGCTCCCCCAGGCGTACAGGCGCGGGGTTGTTCGTGCGAAAGCTACCAGTGAAACCGAAGCTTTGTTTTCCCGTTATTCTCAATGATCTCCATTACAGCAAAGCCAGGAAAAAAAATGAGGGGTGTGATTGGTGTGACAGTTCCCTTTAAAGGACAAAAAAGCATCCCAGTAGATGAGGCAGTCGTGATGCACGCCCACATTATTTTCATGCACTGGGTAGCTACAGCTTATGCTCCCAATTATGTACTAGTTTTGTGGATAGAAAAATAAAGCAATTTTGCTACCAGCAGTTGTATATGGTGTGGTTGCAGATGTTCTGCTCTACCACTTCCCCTTGGCTACTCCTGGGCACAAGGCACAGCTGGAGCAGCCTGGGCAGCCGAGGTAGCGATCACCCAGAATAGAACCTGTGCAAGAGAAAAGAGTGGATTGGAAATGGTCTCTATGGCAACAGATGAGCAGTCTTTGGAAAGGGAGATGCGGGAAAGAATATAGGCTGAAAATACATCATTCTATCAGTGAGACAAGCCTGTAATCCTTGTCTTGGCAATTTTAAATAAGCTATTTCCTCTCCTCCGGCATTCTGCTACTGAAGCATGAAATCCAGGTCGTAGCCTTAGCAGCAAGAAATGCCCACACGTATAATTACTGAAGTTGTCTTGTTCTAGATGAGGATGCAATGCTATTTTTATTTTCCTCCTGTGATTATATTTGATACTTCCAAGTCATAGTGACTTGGAAATGGTAAGGATGTATAGGCAGCTAGAAATTATTCGCTTTCTTTCTGAAACTGTATAAAGCTTTGTTGTATTTTTAAAGCTTCATTCTGTTTGGTGGTGTTTGTTCAGTCTACTCCCTTTAGTGGGGCCGCTTCAAATATACCTGGCATTTGAGCATTTTATCAACTATGTATGAGCCTCGGGTTCAGTTCAGCAATGGAACTTCCTGTCTGCTACATTAACTTAACTTCATCATGCAACTTTTTGTTTCATTACCTTAACAAAAGTTAAAAAGTCCAGAAAGGAATAATGAGACCCAAGCTCCTCTCTCTTGCTCCTTGTTTTTCTCTCCCTCCCCCTCAGATATACAAGGACTGAAAATTATGCTTGCTCTATTCTATTGAATTGTATTCACTCACCATCTTAAGGTCCAGCAGATCAAATTGAGATGGTTATGATGTCCTCTCATTTGCGTCACCCCAGCGTTTCCCATGGCAAAAAATATTTTTCACTAGCCTCATCAGTGGTCCTCAAATGTGGCCTGCAGAAACTGCTAGTCTAATGCACAGAAAGGCCAGTTTAGCTTTAAAATGCCAATCATTTGGTATATGCTGAATTTGTTCTTATGTAAGACTATTTAAGACTATTTATTTTGATTTAAAAAGCTATACAACCCATGATGCGTTAGTATTTTTAAATACTGTATTACCCCAGTGGCAGACACCTCATTACTGGTACTGGCTGAAGGCAACCTTCTTCACTCTCATCATAGACAGGTCCTCCAGCCACACTTGAACCCTAGTGTCTTCCAAGTACCTCAGGTCTAGTTTCACAGCTGGTACAAATAGATCCAGCAGCTCAGTGAAGTGATCTGTTACATTGCACTACTACTACAGCAGACAGGAGGTAGAAGTGAGAGCGCGTGGTAGGATGGGTAGGGAGGTGAAGACTGCATCTTTTGGTGGCAGGGCAGTTTTTTGGCAGCTTGAGCTGATCTAAATCGGAAGCCTGGTCCCCTTCCTTCCCAGTGTTCTTATGCCGGCATTTGCAGGTGTACAACCACGGAATGAGGGTTCAAGAGCTCATCTGGTGGAAAACCAGTGTGTCAGTGGTTAGGGACAGTAGCAGGGCAGAAGAATTGGTTAGAGAGAGGACGTCTGTCTTTTTAAGTTACTCTGTCTTCTGCCATGGAGAACTGCCCATGCATCCATCAATCTATCAGCCAGTTGATATTAACGCTTCCTGAGAGATGAGCTTGGGGTTTTTTTCTGACACGGAAAGTCCATGAAATAAACTACATAGAGTTTAGGAAATGAGCTGACCCTGAAAGTTACAGAATCGCTGTCCAACAGCTTTGTCCAAAATTCAGGCTTTGTTTTGAATGAGGAAAGATGCTAAAAAGAGTTGAAAGATATGATTGTGATAGAAATTGATTTTCTTAAAAGTTTGACAGCAAACATTTATGTAATAACTTTCAGCATCGGAAGACTTCTGTCAGCATTATGTAAGCAACACAGAGCAGACTGAAACTGGCAGTTTACACAGTCCAAGCTGCGTAAACAAGAGAAGGTTCAAAGCAAGATGGCAAGAATGTTGAAAGGTATGAGTTGGCTTTTTTTATGAAGAGAGAGTAACTAGGACAGCATTTGTCTCAGCTCAGGAAAGAGTGACTGAGGGATATGATCGCTACATATAAAGTCATGGCTGAGATGACTTCTCAAGATGCAGGAACCAGAGGCCTGAAATTGAACTATCAGCCTTCAGATTTAAAACCAAAATAAGTTGGTTTTTTTTTAAAACAATGCATATTTAGATTGCAAACTTTGTTGCTAACAGGCTTTATGGCTGTCAAAATTATAAATAGATTCAAAAAAAGAACTAGACAGATTCATGAAGAAATGGAGTATTAAATATGATTGGGCAAATGCAAATGTAAGCTCAGAAAGTCCATGAGCTACAGACTGCTGCACTGTGAGAGGGGAGTGCTGGGGAGGGACTCTCCCTGTAAGTGCCTAGTTTCATACGCTCTTTCCTAAGGGTATATTAATGGTCCTACTCACAGATGGGCTACTGCCCCAGTCCATGTCAGGACAGCTGTTCTGGAGCACAGACAGCCAATGATTGATGTAAATGATGGTGACAAAAAGGTTTATGATGGGGAAGGAAGAAAGAGAGAGGAGCAGAGAGCTTTGCTAAAATTAGTGTCTTCAGCAGCATCTTTTCCTTCAGAATGGATGCTAGAAGCAGCTGTGCTCGTTTTCAAGTAAAGTAGCTGAAACAGCATCTGAGGTAAAGCAGGTCAGGCTTTGCAAAGCTTAGCCAAGAGGCTAAGCGTGAAAGCAGAGACCTGGGCATTGCTGGGGGAGCTGTGTGTGGGAGGAAGAGTGTACATGCAATTTTCAGCAGAAAAGCCCAGATTTATCACAGATGCTGACTGAGAGGACAGTGGAACGACAAGAACAGCCAGAGAATCTCCAGCACTGTGACCCTCTTAAAAGCGAAGCAAGAGCACTCTTGACTGAAGTGTTCCAAAAATTACAAAAGTAAGGAAACTTGAAATACAGAGTGGTGTTTTCCTTTACTATATGATTGATGTTACAGAAGGGAAAAGGCACTCTGTGTGCCTTCTTTGCAGGCATGCATCAAAGAAGAATGTGACTCATTTACCAGTTTCTTCTGCTAATGGAAATGTACTGCAGATCTGAAGTACAACCATAACCAGTCAGAAGTGGTAACAGTGTAGTTACCTTTCCTGATTGTGCCAACAGTGTTACAGTTCTTCCCAGCCAGTAATAGACCCCCAGCCTTTGATATGGGGATCAGACAGTCTACAGACAAAAGCTAAGGGACGAAGAGCTATGATACCAAAGTAGCCTGTGTGTAAAGAAGAAAATTGGGAAAGCGATTCTAAACTTTTCTGTTACTCTATCAGCCTGCCTGTTTTCTGGTATGAAAGTGTCTTCAGATGCACTCCAGAAGGTACACCAGAAGGCTGTGATCTTGTTCTGGAAGGAGATTTTCCTGAAAAACTAAGAGATGGGTCAGCCTATGAAGGTTATGTAGAACTGAGAAAATGGAGATAATCAATACAGTGAAGAAGGTAGGCTAGTTTCATGGATGGATCTCATTTTGATCAGTCTGTTGGCTAAATGGTTTTTGCTGACACAAGAAAGAGATACATAGCTACATAAGATGAAAAAGAAGGAAAGATTAGGTTGATCTCTATATATTTTTTGCTGTGAGAATTTCCCCTTCCATCTGGCCAGGCCACAGGCTCTTGTAAACATTTTTTGTTTGCTGTGTGCAATTTACTGTTGATTAAAATTGCTTACAATGTTTTGGCCTCAGCTGTTTGATTCAGGATCTAATAAATGGCTGGTGATTTGTTAGGCTGTCACTCTATGGAGAAATCAAATTCTTTTGCCTGTTGGCCATCATTTTAATAGTGGAATCGTGGTGTACGTACAGGCCCTGGCCCTGCTCTCTTGTGAAACCCTGACTCATGCCTGAAATGCAAATCCTCATCCTCTCTACCTTTAACACATGTATATATGCAAGGACTTTTAACTTTCAGAGGGGAAGTCTATATTTGTAGTAGTGAAAGTGCTGGCTCAATTTCACAAATACATGCAGCACTGGAAATTGTTACCATTACAGTGATGGACTACGTTGCTTCAGCATCTTTAAGCCATTCCTTGAGTGACAGGCACAGGGCTTTAATTTGTC